TTCTTATGCCTTCGAAATCATTGAAGCCTTCGTGTTACGAGAAATAGAATCTCCCGACATAAATCCGAATATTAATCTAATTATCAATCAGATTCGCGAACCGAATACAATTCCAGATACGAATCAAATACCAAACATTAAATTTATCTACGATTCCAGATATCAAGCCGACACAAAAAAACAACACCAATAACCTATAAAATTCTATTACCGCGAGATTATCACCCTAGAACTACCAAAATTCAGGAGAAATACCACGAGATATCCTAGAACTAATAGATAATCAATCGAATCGAGACTTTTATTTCGAGTAGAGAAAAATAAGATTTTAATCACGCGAGATAATCATACAAGATATTTATATGAAGAAGCGCGAAAAAACACTAAATCCGCCGAAATCACAGACCCATACGTCTTGAGAATAAGCTCAGACACCCTTCACGTCTCTACTCCGAAAAATTTAGACCCGCCACTTACACGTTTATTTCCCAACCCCGCCCCGCCAAACAGAATCACGGACGTAACCAATACGACCCCATTTTGTCACAGAATATTATATGCATATGTATATCTCTTTATACTAATAATTTCGGACGAATATTGATGAACAGAAGTATATGAGTGATGGAAAAATTATTTGTCATTCCGATATTCATCCTATTTTAACAAAATTCAAAGGCCATATGATCGAGTGATAACTAAATTTCACGAACGAAATCTATTTCAATCACTCTCAAAGTCCATAAATCTTTTTGTTCAGCGCGTTCTTTGCCGCACCACTAAATCATCGCATCATTTTGCGGAGGCAATGGTCTCATTGCTGCTTGCAGTGGTGGTGGTACATGCGACACCTTGGAGATTGGCAATGCCATCTTGGTTTTGCAGCTGCTGCGAAGGCCAAGAATCTGCTGAACAGATGAAGGACTTGCAAAAAAACTCACCTAAGTCAAAACGAATCTGGCGCCTGGCTGTTTTTTGCAGTCGAGGAATGATACAAACCACACGTTGTGAAACTGGCTGCTGTCTAGATGCTTCGCACATCGCTTTGACAAGAGAAAGACGGGATCGTTGGCCTTGGTCACAACACAGCACGCGAGGAAGCTTAATTCAAATCTTGCATTCGTGTTACAGCTGCGTTCAGCTCATACACCTCATTGGCGAATCTGTCCGGGCTCAGTACCAGGCAGACTCAGCTAGACGGTTTGAATATGCCAGGTAGATTCTGCACAACCTCCAACTTCGATGCTACCATGGCACTCATCCAGCTCCATCAAGCGCGAAACCTGGCTGCCAGCGGCTGGTCGGTGAGCTCGACACAATCTCCAAGCCCTTGAGCTACCGATTACACCCCGGTCTACCAGCCAGCAGGATGCGAGCAAGTATCGTCTGGTATGTCCGCCAGTCGTTTTTCTGTTCATTTTGCTTTCCCATTTTGCTTTCCCCTGCAACCTTGACGAAACTGTGCCCACCAGCATGCACAGTCTTGCAATCCAGCGGCACAGCAGTAGAGCTCGAATGCGGCCTGAAAGTGGAGTTCGCTGAGGAGGAAAGGCTGTGCAAATGCTCAGGTACACGATAGCCGATTCACGTGGTGTGTAGGAGCAGTATTCCATTGCATGAATGGAAGAACGTCGCACTGTTCCACACTCACACAACAAAACTTGGCCCTCAATCCCGAACCAACCCTAAACCTAAGCCCTTCCCCAACACGCACCATGAACAAACCAGCAGAAATGAACATCAAGCTTGCCCAAGCCAAACTGTGCAAAAAACAGGAAGCCAAGTCAAAACCAATCGAGCCAATACACAGTCGAACTCCTCAACCCCATTCAACAAATCCCCTGCAAGACGAAACCCTGTCTGCTATCCGAGGTCCTGCTGTCTCCACAACACCCACATGAGCTACATTGAGCTACCCATGGGTAATAAACTACCCCAAACCCAAGACCCACAACCCGTCCATGCGGCGTGCATGAACCTGTACCACTAAACAGCAAGCCAGCACAAACCCTGCGCAAAACCGGTCTAACAGTGGCTCTATCCAACAGAACACCCGTCTACTTCGTCTACTTGGCTTGACCTCAGCTCTAGCCCCACACGATGCGCGAGCACTGACCCATCAATGCTCATCAATCGATCCATTTCGCGACAGCTCGCGCGGATATCCTAGCCTGCGCCAGTATAAGGATACTGTCTGAAGGGATGGCCCCCACCGATATCGACTTCTTCGATGGATAGACAGGTATGATTATGAATATATGAGAATACATCCATCCATCCATGCATGCAACGTACATACATACGCGAACACACAGCAGACTCACACATCATACATACAGAGAAGACGGTACTGTTACCCTCTAGGCACGACTTACACAACCAAACATCATCGGGAAAGCATTATGCACCACAAGACCGCCGGGACTCTGAGATCCTGGCTCGGGAACACTTCAGCATCCGCTCCGCACTGAACTCCGGATCCTTCGTATCAAATGTGTTTCTACACGGGCGACAGGTAATCTTGCGCCGGACAAGAGCCAACCCTGCCTTGAAGTACTTCTTGATCTTTGCTCGCTGAGAAGGCCCAATGTCCTGCAGAGGCACGAAGAGACGGCCCTTGGCCTTAAACCATGCCAAGCTCAGCCAAGGTCTTTGAGTTTCGCACAGGCCTTGCCGTGAGATCGAAGTTTGGAAAGGAGAAACGGGTCCGACAGCAGATACCGCCGAGCCTAGGCAGCGAGCACCCCGAGGATTGGACGGATCTGTCTGAAGCCTGAGTTTCCTGCCGGCTCCCAGTAGTCGGTCCGTAAACGATGGTGAACCTGGTCACTGGGAATCGCAATGAAAACGCAGGCGCGTCTGGATCAAAAAACCTAGCAGTGTGGAGTGCACGACTGCCGACACATTTCAATGGCCGAACGGTCAAAAGACAGTGCGGCGAAGGAACGCATTGCTCGTCCAAGTGCTTCACTGGCTGTATGTGGAAAAGCAGGCAGCACACCTCCAGGCCATGGGATTGACTCGCCAACCGGCTGAAGCTGCTATAGGAGGCTGAGTTACGGCGACATGTTCGATTGGCTAGACTGCTGGACAAGAATGACAATCGCAGAAACTCCCACAGCTTGACCTCCATCAGCATGCGGATTGGAGGAGGAGGCTTCTTCAAGGCTTTGATCTCGGAGAGGTCACCTTTGCCATGCTCATCTGAGTGACAATGTTTTTCTTGGGCTTCTTGATAAAAGTCGTACAAGCCACACCGATTGTGCGCACTAATCACTGTAAATATCAGTGTTTTGGAAGTGTCGATGTAGACAGCACAGGGTCACTACGCACTCCGTTGTGCACGGTCCACTGCCACCGAAGCTGGAGGGGATTGCACAGATGCACATTCTGCCATGAGTACAGATGAGCGTATGCCAGCGGAGCCTGCTTGTTTTCTCAGCCTGAACATGTCGTGTGCATGCGTGTGTTTGTGTCTGAAAGTCGATGATATACACATCTATGTATGTAGATATAACAAGATATGTATACACTTTTTTGGTTTATGTATTTGTTTATTGAGTATATACAAATATAAATATATATGTGTGTATAGATATATACATATGCAAATATGGCTGTTTCCACTGTGCTTGAGGGTAACCATGTAGTTTGTTCCAGGACTTAGACCGCTCTGTCTTCCGACGATGCGGGTTTCCAAGATGCAGACCATGGATGCTGCGGTTCCGAGTCTCGAACACGAACCCAGTTCAGCTCCCTAATGGGCTTCCCAGAGAGGCTCCAATAATCTCCAATATCCCTGAACTAAGACATATACCTGAAATTAGAGTAGGAAACTGATAATATGATTTAAGGTATATTCCTGAATTAACCGATATTGGAGCCCCTGGCTTCCCCAAGATCTTCCTCGAAGTGCCGGCGCGTTGCGCAGTGAGAGCTGCGCCAGCTGCTCGCCAGCTCCCCGTGCACTGGGTGGTGAGGAGCTGGGAACCTGATTGCGGGAGTTTCCGAATATTCGGGGTACCTTATTTTCGGGTCCTTACAATAAGGATCCTATCATCTGATTTTATCATCTAGGGTACTATGCTAGTGTCCCCCATGTTCGCAACCTCCTGCATGGCAGAGAGACCGAAACGTCAAGTAAGCTCCGTGGATCTGAAGAGGTATTAAGATGCCTTTAAAGGAACCCTAATAAAAGAGACGGGCAGGCTTGAGGGCATGGTGAAGCTTCCAGAACAAGACTCCGCGTTGCCTCTCGCGGCTTTGTGGCCTTGTTCCAGCTGGGGCTCCTGGCTAAAGTGGGATCCGACAGAGGCCGCTCTGGAAGTCATCTGTTTGCAAATTTCGCGTGCAAAGTGTCCACACTCTGTGGCTCAACGGGCTTTGCGAGTTTGCATTTTGGGAGGGTTTGCACACTCTGTTCCTTCGAGAGTCTCGGGGGGGCTGTCCAGGGAACTTCCGGGCGCAGCGCACTCTCGGCAGGGTCTTGACGTTAAGTTATGTGGATTGTGTTCGGCTGCAGCGCCAACATGCCGCGAGCAAAGTTTCAGGGTCCTTTTCAAGACATGGCCGTAAGAAGCCCTAAGCCCTTCTTTGGACGGCGCCTGGCCTCTGCTGCAGCAGCACGGGGCCTGCAGGGGCATCTCGTCGAGAATCCTCGTTTGACGGACCGGCTTCTGAGGCAAACATGGATCCGACCGCACATGCAATACACATTTCGTGAATCGTGGCCATCCCTTAACAGTCAACATATTAATTACTCTACTATGCCAGACCCCCTGGTATTATTTTAATGGCTAAGGCTCATGCTCTCCGCTCTCTGCTCTCATGTATGAGTCACAGCAGTGTACCGGGATGCCTGGCCTCTGCGTTGTCATAGACAGAGGCCCACTCGCGCAACAGGCCACCGGCAGTAGGGAGCTCCTCCTGCAAGGACAAAAAAGCTGTTGAGTGCGCTACGAGGTTTTTCGAACTTCACGGCCCAATATTTCTGAAGCCTCCTGTTAACTGAAGCTACCGAGGAAAATGTTCTTCCCTACTGCAGCTCAGCCCAGTCTCGTACACGCGTACTCTGCGCATCTGTCAAACATCGAGAAGCTTAGCAAAGCTTGTGTCGGCATAGACTCCAAGATGTGAGTCCTCAGCCTCGGGATCTTTGGTTTTGGGAGCTGAAAGTTGAGGCTCCGCGGCAAAGCCTTCCAACCTTGCATGACGATCAAACTTGTCTTGCTGTGTGGTGAAAGCGGAAGCCGGATCTGGATTGAGGGGCGCACTGCTCCTTGAGCTTTGTGAGGCTGGCCGCAGCTTCGGCATTGTCAACCTGACAGGGCGCAGCCCTACTGCGCTACCATCTTGTCTGGAATTGGGGTTTCTTCTTCGTGGCAGGTGCTCGGAGATGTCCATGTGTAAACCAGATGAACGCAAGCATCTGGGGAAGTGCAATGCCATGCAATGCATGACTAGGCTCTTGTGCCCCACCGTGTCCGGGTCTTTCTCTCAGGAATGAACCAACATCAACGACAGCAAGGCATACCAAGCAGTGCCACAAGCCCAGGCCGGGGGAACTTTATTGGCGGCCTCATCGACGTTCCGGAGCAGATCCCGCAGAGAATCAAGCAGTGCCTGGCCAGCTGCAACACACCGGCCAGGCTACGGCTATGAAATCCTGGGCACTTCCGAAGAAGTTCTCAGCAACTCTTTTCTTTCGCACTCTGCAACAAGCAGCAAACCCAATAGTCGAAAGCAAGACTCCCCGATCCGCAGCACTTCGAAGCATCGAAGTGCCCCACCGGGATGCCTCCGCTTGTCCGCGTGCCTCTTGCGCGGCTGCTGCGCGATTCTGCGCGGCGAGGCGCAGCGCCTTGTGGGCACTTCACGGCTAGTGCGGTTGTGAGCCATTCGTTTCCAGCTTGTAGCTTATTAGTTTTAATGATTATTGTTCATACACATATATATATATATATATACACATAGTATGATATATTTTATCCGCCGACCCCTCCGTCAGGTTCTTTAGTCCCGTTAGATTCTTTAGCTCCTTTCGAGCGGTTTGCCACCTGTTGTCAGATTCTCTATTCCTTTTCGAGCGGCTTGCTACCTGTTTGTCAGATTCTCTAGTCGCTTTGGAGCGGTTTGCTACCGAATCTCTATTCCCTTTCGAGCGGTTTGCTACCTGTTTGTCAGATTATCAAGTGCCTTCGTTACTTGTTTGTCAGGTTCTCTAGTCCCTTTCGAGCTCTTTGCTACCTGCTTCTCAGATTCTCTCGTCCCTTTCGAGCTCTTTGCTACCTGCTTCTCAGATTCTCTCGTCCCTTTCGAGCGGTTGGCTACCTGTTTGTCAGATTCTCTTGTGCCTTTCGGGCGGCTTGCTACCTGCTTGGTCAGATTCTCTAGTTCCTTCCGACCAATTTCCTACGTGTTTGTCAGATTCTCGCGTCCCTTTCGAGCCGTGCTACCTCCTTTCGAGCTGTCTGCTGCCTGTTTGTCAGATTTCTCCAGTCCCTTTCGACTGGTTCGCTACCTGTTGGTATTCTTTAGTCCCTTTCGAGGGGTTTGCTATCTGTTGGTCAGATTCTTTAGTCCCTGTGGAGCGGTTTGCTACCTGCTGGTCAGTCTCTGTTGCCCCTTCCGAGCGGTTTGGTACCGTTTGGTCAGATTCTCCGTTGGTCAGCTTCTCTAGTCCTTTTCCAGCGGTTTGCTACCTTGTGATCAGATTCTCTAGCCCCATTCGAGCGGTTTACAAACTGTTTGTCAGATTCTCTGATCCCTTTCCAGCGGTTTGCTACCTGTTTGTCAGATTCTCTAGCTCCTTTGGAGCGGACCCTGCAGTGCCCGCCGCCCAGCGCTTGTTTAGAGTAGCGGTAGTTGGGTATTTTAAGTCGAGCCCAATGCATGCCCAACCCTCATGTGCCCCCACGGAATCCCCCAGCGCCTGCCGTACTTGTCTTTTCCAGCGACCGCGTAGAGGTAGTTGAGTAATTTCATTCGAGCCCAACCCTTCTTTGACCCTGCCGGACCCTCAGCCTGCCGTGCAGCCTTTTTCTTCTCCAGGCAACCATGTAGAGTAGTGATAGTTGAGTAATTTAGTTCGGGCCCAATGCATGCCCAACCCCCCCTTTGCCCCTCCGGACCCCCTAGCGCCTGCTGCCCGGCCTTTTCTTGTCCAGCGATCGTGTAGAGTAGTGGTAGTTGAGTAATTCAATTCCACGCTGCCCGGCCTTTTCTTGTCCAAACCCTAAACCCTACGGCGATGATTTTTAAATACCCGGATACTTCCGTGGGCATTGTCTCTGGGCCGCCCAATTTTAAAACACACGGAAAGACAACAACACGAGACTCCAGCCCGCAGACTCCGTCCTCCAACCTTCGCCTCGCCAGCCCTCTTCCCAGCCCTTCATCCCTCCAGCCTTCCAGCCTTCCAACCCCTCCTGCCATCCAGCCCTCCCTCCTTCCAGCCTTCCAGCCCCGCCAGCCTTCCAACCTTCTAGCTTTCCAGCCCTCCAGCCTTCCAGCCCCTCCAGCCCCTCCAGCCTTCAAGCCTTTCAGCCCCTCCGGTTCAGGACTGAAAGGCTTGAAGGCTGGAGGGGCTGGAGGGGCTGGAAGGCCGGAGGGCTGGAAAGCTAGAAGGTTGGAAGGCTGGAAGGCAAGGCTGGAAGGCTGGAAGGCTGGAGGGCTGGAGGGCTGGAAGGCTGGAAGGGTGGGAAGGCTGGAAGGCTAGAGGGTTGGAAGGCTGAAGGCTGGAAGGCTGGAAGGCTGGAAGGTTTGAAGGCTGGAAGGCTCGAGACTGGGAAGGCTGGAAGGCTTAAAGGCTGAAGGCTGGAAGGCTGGAAGGCTGGAAGGCTGGAGGGCTGGAGGGCTGGAAGGCTGGAAGGCTGGAAGGCTGGAAGGCTGGAAGGCTGGAAGGCTGGAGGGCTGGAAGGCTGGAAGGCTGGAAGGCTGGAACGCTGGAAGGTTTGAAGGCTGGAAGGCTGGAGATTGGGAAGGCTGGAAGGCTGGAGGGTTGGAAGGCTGAAGGCTGGAAGGCTGCAAGGCTGGAAGGCTGGAGGGCTGGGAAGGCTGGAAGGCTGGAGGGTTGGAAGGCTGAAGGCTACAAGGCTGAAGGCTGGAAGGCTGGAAAGTTGGAGGGCTGGAGGGGCTGGAAGGCTGTGGAAGGCTGGAAAGCTGGAAGGCTGGAAGGCTGGAGGGCTGGAAGGCTGGAAGGCTGGAAGGCTGGAAGGCTGGAAGGCTGGAAGGCTGGAGGGCTGGAAGGCTGGATGGAGGGCTGGAAGGTGGAAGGCTGCAAGGCTGGAAGGCTGGAAGGCTGGAAGGCTGGAGGGCTGGAAGGCTGCAAGGCTGGAAGGCTGGAAGGCTGGAAGGCTGGAAGGCTGGAGGGCTGGAAGGCTGGAAGGCTGGAAGGCTGGAAGGCTGGAAGGTTGGAAGGCTGGAAGGCTGGAGGGCTGGGAAGGCTGGAAGGCTGGAGGGTTGGAAGGCTGAAGGCTGGAAGGCTGGAAGGCTGGAGGGCTGGAAGGCTGGAAGGCTGGAGGGCTGGAAGGCTGCAAGGCTGGAAGGCTGGAAGGCTGAAGGCTGGAAGGCTGCAAGGCTGCAAGGCTGGAAGGCTGGAAGGCTGGAAGGCTGGAAGGCTGGAGCGCTGGAGGGCTGGAAGGCTGGAAGGTTGGAAGGCTGGAAGGCTGGAGGCTGGGAAGGCTGGAGGGCTGGAAGGCTGGAAGGCTGGAGGGCTGGAAGTAAACACCCGGAGCTAAAACATACGGATTAAAACAGGTGTCTCATACTACCTCTGTTTGGATCTTGGGTTGCCCGCCCCCCACATGTTTTAAAATTCTCACCGTAAATAGATAGTGCGCTTCTTCAGCGCTTCAGTTTACAATTTTTGCCTCCTGCATGACTGAGTACACGAAGCAGGGAGTTAGGTACACAGCTAGCTTAGTTCTTCGCTGGGCTTGTTTGTCGCGGGGCGCGGCAGATGTGCGTGCGAGCGTCATGCAGCTTAACTTATTTGTTTCGACACATACTCTAACTGCTCTAACTGGCCATACAGTACGTAAGACGTAAGTCAGCATGCTCCCACAGCGTCGGAAATTTTGGGTCGGCGGCAGTGGCGGCAGCCATACTGTATACATTGCTTGCATCACATTTGATTGTAGACAGTTGCAGGCTGGAGCTGTCTGCAGAGAACCTGCACATGACATCTTGCCTAGTTAAAACCTCTCAAGAGGCCTCCGTCTTGTTGAGCTCACTGTCCAGGGAGCGATTGGCCTGCACGAAATTGAATTCAAGACCCGCTGCATGTTTCACTGAGCGTCACCTACATGGCACAGTTTGCCACTGATGATGCTTCCATCCATACTACAAGCAAAAGGCTCTGGATCGAAAATCTGGTGTGCTTGGCTGGCCTCCTGCACTTTGCGAAGCTTCCGTGTAAGCTCCTCACGAATCCCAACTCGACGCTACGACGGGTCTAGGATGGTCGAGTTACTCGCAGCCACACGTCAAGCTTCAACCTCCCCCCGGGGTTCCACGTGGATCTCGGACTTCTCATGCAGTTGGCGCCGGAGTTCGTCTCTTTCAACCTTGCGAGCATCCAGACATGAGGGCAATGACCTGCCGCAAAGCAGACATGTTGCTGAGCTCTGGGAAGCTCTTTTTCTGGTGGAATCCGCAAACCGAGGAAGCCTAGCATGAAAGCAGGGATTGTTAGAAGCAGCGGCAAACGACGAAGGATCGATTCCGCACTTGTAATTACCCACTACCTAAATGTGAAATGCACTCGGATTGGGCACACCTTGCTTGCAGGGCATCGTAGGCCCTCAGTCAGTCTTCTGCCTCATCTGGTCGAGACACTTTACATCGCTGAAGCTGCGTTGCCAGCTGCGCAGCGCGCCCCTTACCGGGCAGCATGTAGGATCAGACGAGTCTGAATCAAGGTTCACAAGGATTGCTACAATGTACAAATGACAGCAATCATGTCCAGGGAATACGTTAAGACGCACATGACTACAAGTAAGCCGCACTGCAGCTGCGTTTGTAGAGGGGTCTACTGGCAACCACCATATCAGACCTTTTCCGGGGTCTAATATGGTTGGCTGCGCAGGGGTCACACGACCCTTTTCAGACCCTCGCCCTATTCAGACCTTGCATCGGTTGTTGACGAGCTTGCCACATGGAGAGGGTCTAGATTGGTCTCCCTACTAGGGTCTAAATTGGTACCGCCGACCCCAGGCCCATAAATCAGGCATGACCCAGCAGTCCTCTGCGCTGCTCAGACGTTTTGATGTTCGGCTCTGGGCGGCCTGCGGCAAATGCAGCAATAGCAATATGCTCATTGAGGTTCTGTGGCACGGTGGGGTGCTCTCGTACGGTGGCTGTGCTGGCCTTGCCGCACATCCTGCACACGCCACCCTAATCAGCGGCGAATATTTGATCCCGCCTCCGCCTCATCGCGCAGGGCTCGTTCCCTGGTGAGGGTGCCTTGAAGCTCTTCAAGCTCAGCTTGGAGGCCTTGGAAGCCGCAGTCGTGCGGAGAACTGTGGCGTCTTTCGGTGAGCTTCGGCCGGGCAGCGGGTGACCTCCGCCTCGGCCGCCTCGGCCTGCGAGCGTTGCCAGGACCACCGCATCAAAACTCTGAGACGAAGTGGACTGCTCTTAAAGACTCGTCCTGTGCTTCGGAAGCTGAGTTCGCTTGGGCTGTGGCCGGCGGAGAAGGCTCGTCGATCTCCTGCCTGCAGTGCTGCTACAAAGAGGGACTTTAGAACCTGCAGAGCGATCTCTGCGACGTGGACTGATCTCGAAATGCCTCGGTGCAGTGTCCACTGCCGCAGACCATGGCTCCTGGCAAAGTCGAGGTCGCACACCGCCGTATTGCCCTGAGAGCCATGCCGGGAATGCCTCTCCCGACAAGGGCGAGCTGATCACCTGCACGATTCATCTCGCAACTCTACAAGCGAACCTGTGCTACCAGTATGTGGCCGTGTGATATGAGAGCGTCGTCACCCAGTATGTAATCTTGGCAAGCAAATCGACACCATGATAGCGAGCCTCACTCTCGTCCGACTCTTTGCAGTGCGCATCATGCACTGTCGGGGCCTTGGCAAGGCATGCTGAAGAGGCAAAGAACCCTTATCCAGGCGGCTACCGGCCCTTTCTGACACGTGATCGATTTACTGCTCTCTCGTCTTGTCTCGCAGCATGCTGGCATTTAACTTGAACGCATTGGCTGAAGCCCTGCAATGAGGCACCAACCATGGACAAACGGCTAGGCTTCTCCTGGTCGTGGTGCAAGCATGAGAGGGTACGACTGTGACGTATGGCGAATGACTTGATGCAGTATGCGAACAGAACCCACGAGCGGGACTGCAGACAGATGTCAAGTAAGTAGCTCGAAGCAACACGCGCACACCCATGCGGAGACAGTCTGATGTGGGCAGGGCGCTCACATACAGGTCGCGCAGAGAGCAAGCGTCCGGTGCCCTCCAGTTGGAGCGCTGAAGTCGTAACAGCATCAGCATCGGACGTCATCGGAAATGCAGCGACACCGGCGTTGCTTGGAAACTTGCGTGCCAAAACGAACAGCGTCCACCACCACCACAACAACAACAACTAGAATAAGAACAGTAAAAATGACGAGAACCATAACAACAGAAACTAGGATAATAAGAAGAGGAACGAGGACAAGCACAATAGCAGGAATAAGAATAAGAATAAAGACAACAATACGACTAAGAATGAGAAGGGCAAGAACAATAACAACAACAACCACAACGGCAAAGAGAACGACACGAAGACCAACAGCACCAACAACAACAGACCACCGCCAACAACAACATCGACACCAACAGCACCACCACCAAGCATAACAAGAAGAGAAGGAAGAGGAACAAGAGCAAGCACGATAACAGGAATAAGAAGAAGAACAGCAACAATAATCAATAATCGTTTTCATATAACAACTGTCATATTGAGTCATATTCATATTGAATACTACTAGTCTAGGAGCAGTAGTAATAATAGTCGTAAACAGAAGAACCAGATAAGAAGAATAACCAGAAGGAGAAGAACAACAGCAGCAGCAGCAGCGTCAACACCAACAGCAACACTACCTCACTGGCAACGGCAACAGCAGCAACAATAACAAGAAGAGCAAGAGCAAAAGCAACGACAACATACGGCAAGCACAACCCCCGACAGCGACAGCACCCAAATTAGCAACGGCAACGGCAGCCACAACAGGAAAGGAACATGCTGCACTTGAAAGTCGTGAAACAGGCTCACAGGGGATGGATGATGGTTGTGCCTGCGGCGAGTCTTGGCTGTCTTCAGTTGGGACCTGCCCGCAAAGCCGAGAGAACAAAGATTATCCGGCTGCTGCAAGCGTTACCTTGTCACTAGCTTCAAAACACCGCACATTTTCCAGAGGCGGCTTTCGAGGTACCGAATGGAACTCCTGTTGTCAGCAGAACTGCGTGGATGTGTGAGGATCCTGCATGTTGCCAGTGCTGACTGTGCGTGCTAATCAGCATGGTCATACTATCTTTCAGAGTTGTTTCGTCTCACACATCCATGATGCAACTGCCGAAGAAACTTTGTACATGACCAGGTGCCGCTTGACAAATCATTTAGAGCGCACGAGTCTCATCTCGCATTACTGAATAGTCCACGCGGAAAGAGAGTTTGGGGGGGTTCGAACGAGAGAGACACGCACTCGGCAGCAGTGACCGAATAATGAATTCATCGTGTTCGAGGCAAAACTTCGACTTAATTATTAGACTAGGGTTTCGGGGGCCCAATATATTCAGCAAACCATATCTGTAACAAGGAACCCACAAAAAAGTATTGGTGATTTCCCCCTTCGATCTGAGACTTCCTCTCAAGTCCTCTGCGCACGCAATTCGCATTGGCACTGCCGAGCTGCTGCAGGTGTTAAACCAGTACCCACGAGCAGAGCACGTATAGCGAAATTCCCGACTGCTGGCCGTTACACGGCCAAGCAGGGGGAACCAAGACGAGCAGACATTATTCAAGTGTCAAGCTCCAAGACTCGCACAAGGATCAGGCTTTGACACCGCTAAGTACTCACCCGTACTTACCTTTACCGACTTCAAGCAAAGCTGCAGCAGACACTTGGAACATCTTTTATGATTCATGGCTCATGCACCTAGACCTAGGTGGCCCAAGAAGCTGGGCCAAGCACGTCTCTGCTAGACTCCTTTTGACTCTAGCCGGTCTCCCTGTTCACGCCGGCGGCGAGCACCGGGCCAAGCCCTGGTGTGGAAAGAGCAAACCTTGGCACCCACTTCTGGAGCGTAGATTCAGATACCGATGTGACATCATATTAGACGCAGAAGCACGTATGCCCAACGCAACACTATATGAGTGTATCTACGCGCCATCTACGCATGCATCCATCCTTGCAACCACACATCATGGTAATTCTCACCTCGTTAAGCTGGGCCCCCGGCCGCCTGAACGGCAGCCTGCGGTTTACGGCCCCTGGAGCGCACCGAAGCCGCGAGGAAGTCCTGGAGCGGACTGAGACTGTCCGTTTCTTTCAGGACGCTGGGCCCAGGAGGGGAGATTTTCTAGTCCTGGTCCTCAGGTGCTGGCTGTGGAAGATCTGGAAGCACCTCACTTCGTTCGGATGAAAGGACACAGCACAGCAGCGGAGCAGCAGAGCATAGCACAGCACCTCGCAGCAGGCGGGGGCCCGGCCTCCTGGACCAGTTCAGGAGCCTGCGCCTGCGCCTGGGCGGCATCTCTCGGATCTCTCGGCTCCTCTCCGGATCTCTGAGCCGACGACCTCCGCCGGATTTCCTGCAGGCGCGTCCTCCGGCAACCTGCTTCTCGTGAGAGCTTGGGCTGACTCGAAAACTCGGAAGTTTGGGCATCTTTGGGCGTGTAGTTTCACTTCCACCTGCCACCTTGTAGTGGTTCGCTGCAGTATTGGTATCCCGGCCCTGCAACCACTCGCCCTCTGAGCCGCTCACTTCGGTTCCGCTCGTCGTGTACGCCGCTTCGGGGTCCGCCACCAGGGCTGGCACAGGTTTAGGGAGCTCTGGCAAAGGTGGGACAGCAGACACCGCTTCCTGGATGTTGCCTGTTTCGGCAGTTATACGGCGCACATCTGTAGACAACTTCACCAACTTCTGAACTTCACGGCTGGATGCCTCCCAGACCGTCTCAGTGGGCACCAGCCACGGCAAGGCGCAGCCAGCAGGTTGTGTCGGCAGCAAGGACCGGAAGCTCAGAAGCAGATCCCTGCAAGCTTTGCATGGTACTGCGAGCCGGGTGAAGTTTTAATTCCACTTCTGTTGTTATAGTTATAGCTACACTCTACATCATTGCTGTTACCGGTAAATCTGGACGGACAGAGTTCAGGATGCCAGTTTCGCTCTTGTCGACACATATTGTCACAACGTCTCGGAATGAACCAACATCCGGGTTTCCTGCATCTGTGACAAAGGCTCGAGGAAGCCACAGGTTCCTGCACTTTGTTGACCTGCTTCATGTTTACTAGCCGTCTGAAGAGAGCCAAAACCCTGTAGCCCGCCTGCGATATTGGCAGCCTGCTGCCTGCACCTAGAAGGACTGGCATATTTTCTCAGAGCACCGCCGCAGCTTCGCAGCCCGCCTCCGGCACTGCGACCGGCGAGCAGCCGTCGCTTGTGGTGGCCAAGGAGCAGCTGTCGGTTGGCCGGTCTCAAAGCTGTGGCAAACGCACAAAGCAAACAAAGAAGTCGCTGAAGGAGGTCTCTCACTATGCTCATGTCAACTCAAGGACCTTGAGCCGTGCCCTGCCTGCCAGTTCACGGGCCTTGAAGCCAGCCTCAGCTGCAGAGAGTCCGGTTTGTTGCTGGCCGGGTACATGGAGCACCGTAACAGCCGTGACACGTTCAACGCTTTCTGCTGTAACCCGACTCCAAAATGCCAGCAGGCTCAAGGCCGAGTTGAGCAGCCAAGCTTCGACGGTCCACGCATCCACGGTGGTTTCACCAGACATTGCCTCGAATCTAGGCAAGATCTGCATGCTGCACGAGGTCGAGTCCAACTACCAAACACTTGACTGTAAATCAAACTCTGGGAGAAGCGCCAGCGCAGCGGAATGCAACAAAAGCGAGTGTGCATAAAGTCCAACTCAGAAGTGGCTTTACTCATAAACCATGCAGCCGCGTAGCCTCTGGGCAAGAGCAGGTCATGCTGCAATGGTACCATGCTTCAAGTCACATGTATTGCATAAATCATAAACCAAAAACCAATGCTCCTGCCGATTCCATGCTGCAATAGATTACAGTAGTGGAAGCCTTGGACTCTCTGACCTGATAGAGCTTTATTTGAGATACTGCTGTGCGCCGAGAACCACATCGTAAACCCAACAACCCTGAGCCGAAACGAAGGCCAAGTCATCCAAGTCGCATGATGCTCAGCGCAAGCAGAACTGTGAAATTCAAATTACATCAAATTGCCCGGGCTCCGTTTTGAGCGTTTGCCAAGAGCGAAGTCTCTGTCACAACACCGGCTGACAAACAACCGTCGCACTCTGCCCGACGTTGAACCAAAACTGAGCACTACGACGAATCCGCACTTCTTTTTCGTCGTGTGGTAGCAGCGCTGTAGCACGCCGTTCGGCGAATCAACAGGCTGAAACGACGAGTCGGTGCCGGGGCGCATTCTGCACCCGGCCCGCGGTCGTTCGCCCTCCGCCGAAACGCGAAAGTAAAATTGGGCGGTGAGGGTGGGTAAAATCTTTGAACTCGTCGAGCCAGAGTGCTAGCGACGGCCGTCGTTAACGGTTGTTACTGCACACACACGTGTGTTTCACAACAACCGTCGCACTCTGCCCGACGTTGAACCAAAACTGAGCACTACGACGAATCCGCACTTCTTTTTCGTCGTGTGGTAGCAGCGCTGTAGCACGCCGTTCGGCGAATCAACAGGCTGAAACGACGAGTCGGTGCCGGGGCGCATTCTGCACCCGCCGTGCGCACCGACTCTCCACCCCGCGCCGGCTCAGACGTGGAAGCCGTTGGCCAGCTGAAGGAGGTAGTCCGCCGCCTCCGTCGTGGCATATTCGAGGTCCTGCGCCGATCGGGCGAAGATGGAGAGTATCTCGTCCGGCGTGGAGACCCTGTGCCATCCCTCGGCCGTCGCCCTGCTGAAGTCGTCTCTGGAGACTGCGTCGGCGACGTTGGCCTTGGAGGGAACTCGCTCAAACTCGACGAACCACCCCTGGTGCGCCGCAAGCGTCCAGAAGGCTGAAATCATGCCGTTCACCGCGGCGTCTTTCCCGTATCCCTTTGTAAGGGCTGCCTGTCCGGCGGTATTGTCGATGAAGGCGACGATGGCCGGCGGCAGACGGGCGCCGAAGGTGACGAAGGCGACGAGCTGGGCCAGCACTTCGAGCATGTAGATGTAGGCCTTCCTCGTCGAGAAGAGCTTGACAAACCATTCCGGCGCGACGCCGTGGTCGAAGAAGACCTGGTCGCCGATTCGTAGCACATATCCCCATCCATTCGCCGCCTTCTTCGTCGGCCGTACCCCCTGGGGTACGTGGCCGGCCTTGTGCCTGCATGGTCTCCCCGTCGGTGAAGAAGGCGTCGGCGTACAGGATCGCGACCTCCATCTCCTTGGCGTCGAACGGAATGAATCTGGGTCGGATCGTCGGCAAGATCCTGGCCAAGGAGCGTAGGGCCGCCGAGAGACCGTCGGACAGGGAGTCCGCCGTCCATGCCGCTGTGTCGGCCGCTCGGGCGTAGATCGCTTTCGTCGCGGCCTTTGCGACGGATCCGAATGCCGCTTGTGTCAAGAAAGACACTCGTCCGGCGAGCTTGGCAGCCTCGGCGGGTGACAGTGTATCCTGGTCGAGTGCCCGGCGGATCTGTTCCATGATCTTTTCTACCCGGATCGTCGTCGGTTTGAGGGTGACTCCCCGTGCGTCGACCTGGAACTCCACGCCCTGCACAATGTGGTTCTTCGCCGGGTGCTGTGCCTTCGACGCCTTGGTGAGGAAGCCCAGCGCCGAGAAGAGGTCCTGGAACGAGACCATCGCCGACTCGCCGAGGAGGGCGTCGTCGAGGCCGTTAAAGTCGTCCACGTAGTGACCCGTCGCCAGTAGTAGCAATCCCCTGAGCAGCTGCTGAAGTGCGTCGGCTCCCCTGTTAAAGTTCCATACGGACGCCGTAGCGCCGAAATTCATGGCCAGGTGGTACCAAAAGGTCACGCCGTGCTTGGTCGAGAGGAAGGTGCCGCACTCCGCCGGTCGTCGAACTGGCCACTGGCGGTAAGCGTTGAGCAGGTCGTTGCCAAAGACCACGACGTCGGGGGTGTCCTGGACCATGCGTCGTGCCAGGTCGACGAAGCTGCCGATGAAGTGGTGCGTCGGCACGTCGTCCACCGACACCGTGGCGTTATGCCCGCTGCGACGCCAGTCCTCGGCACGTCGTACCTTTAGGTCGCCTTTCTCGTCGGTCTGGCAGACTGGAAAGGATCCTGCCAAGAAGTGTTCGCCGGGCGGCGGTTCGACCAGGGAGTCCACCTCGATCTGGTCGGGCACCGCCGTGGCCTTGGTGTGCAGCCATGTCGGCGCTGTCGTTGGGCCGATGACTCTGCCCAGCTTCTTCTCGGCGATGAGCTCCTGGAGCAGCTGATCGGCGAATTCACCGCCGTCGTGCTGGGAGACCTTGCGGCGGACGTACTCGGCGTTGGTCCGGCGGAAGGTGTCCATGTCCGTCGGGTGCTGGTAGCGTCCGTCGTCTCTTTTCCTCCATCCTGGTCCTGGCCGGATGTCGCCGATCATCTGGAAGCCCTCCGTCATGTCGTGTTCGAGGGCGTCGATGTCGGGGTAGTCGACGAGGCGGAGCAGCTGTAGGAAGACGAGCACCTGCGTCGGGGCCGGCTTATCCGGCGTCGAGTACGTGGCTCTGACCCATGATGATCTGGCGGCGAGCCACTCCCTGGTCTCGTCGGCTGTGTCCTCGATCATGGTGCGGACCTCGTCGACGACTTCCCTTCGGATCCTGACCAGGTCGTGGCGCCAAGTTCGACGAATAACCAGGAGTCGTTCCCACGCCGGTTCCAGTGGGGCGTCGTCCGCCAGCGGGTGTGACATCGACCATGATGCGTCCCAGCGCGCCTGCTCGTCGAGGTCCTGGATGTATGCCACACCTGGCCGCGGCGGGGCTGGTGCCATGATCGGACCGCCGGGTCCCCACAACGACGCCACCCACTGTAACGTCGATCGGCTAGGTGATCTTGGTACTGGGGTCGCCGTCGTCGGTGCCGTGGCTGTGAAGACCAACAGCGCCAATAGAAGACGTCGTGCGACTCCCCAGTGCCAGCCGTTGCCGATGAGGCGATGTCGAGTGCGGTCGTCGAGTGCTCCGGCGGTGGATCTCGCCGTGTAGTCGGCCGGCATGTGGTGAAGCTGCTCTTTCACCTTCGGCGGCAGCAGATGTAGTCGACCTTGGTCGTCGGTCATCATGGCGTCTCTGGCGTAGTGCCACGGCGCAAATTGCCGTCCGCCGGTGAGCCACCGCTGGTGGGTGTCCGACGTGATCTTCCCTCTCGTCGACCTTGGTGCGGCTCTGCCTCCCTCGTCGGCTGCTGGTGTCGTCGCACATGGCAGCCTGACCCTGCCACTGGCGACGGAGTCCGAGAACTTGAGGCCGTCGAGGTCGAAGTCGTCGGCTGCTGCCCTGGGAGAGTCCAGCCGCAGTCTGTTCCAGCGACGGTGTAGAGCCCATGTCCAATGTTCTCCCGTCGAGGGGTCGCGAGGCAGCTCCTCCCAGTCGATCGTCGACCACCAGAGGCGGGACCTACCGATCCACCCGAAGTCGGCGGCGTCGGAGAGGATGGGTTCGCACTCCAGTGCCTTGGTGGCCGCCGCTGCGTCTGCCTGCGTCATCTCGACGTTTTCGACCAACTTCCCAAGCCGTCGAGGTGCGATCAGCGGTGTCAGCTCGGCGACGTACTCGGCCGTGAAGTTGAAGAGGTAGCCTCTATCACCGCCGTGACCCGCTCTGTTGCCGATTCTGGAGAAATCTTGGCACGGCGGGGCGGCGAGGAACAGGATGATGCACTGGGCGTCGGGGTCGACCGCCTCTATGTCCTTGGCCAGGGCCTTCGGCGTGTCCTCCGTGATGTCGCCGCGGTGCCGGACGTCGGGGATGTGGTAGTCAATCACCTGGATCGCCGCTCGGTCCACCTCCCATGAGAAGACCGCTCTGGGCTGGCCCACCAGGTCCCACACCAGCCACGGGCCTGCGCCGACACCGTCGAACGCCGACAGCACGATCACCTCGTCGCCTTTAGGTCGCCGGCCTGAGAGCTTCACTTTCTTGGTCGGTGGGTCGGGTACCCCGTCGTCAGCGGGGGCGTTCGACGGGGCCCCGTGCTGTCCCTAACGGCGGTTGCCGCGGCCTTGGCCGTTGCCGCGCCACGGGCGTTGGCCTTCTGACTGGCTGGACTGTCCGCCGTTGCCGCCGTGCCACCACTGTTGGTTCTTTCCGTCGGTCTTCTGCTGCCACCAGCCGGCGTTGGTGTCCTGCTCGTTCTTCTTGCCGCCGCCCTGTGATTGATCTTTGCCGCCGCGTCCGCGCCCTCGGCCACGGCCCCCTTGACGTCGTCGTTTGCGGCCACCGCGACCGCCGCCTCCGGTCCATGCCTGCTGGTCGTCGGCGTCCTCCTCCTGGCCGTTGGGGGCGTCGGTGCGGTCGGCGATCTCCTTCTCGGATCTCTTGGTCGGGTGCGGCGTGGATAGGAGGATCTCCTGCCACGTGGCCACGTCGTCCATGATCTCCTTGGTGGCCTCGCCGAAGGACCGGTTGTTCCTGAGTGCCATCGCCAGGTTCCACGACGTCCGCTGCCAGTATGCCTGGAGGGCTGCGACGTGGTTGGACTTATCCCTGGCGCGGGCGACGAACCAGTCGACATATGTCATGACGTCGGTCTCCTAGCCGATGCCCAGCAGGATCCATGCCCACCGGGCGGCGTTGGCTCCGTCGATAGTTGAGAAGAGGCCCTTGGGTACCCACTCCGTCGGCTCCTCCTGGAGCAGGAGGCCATGTTCCAGCCGCAGCGCCTTGGAGCTGGCGGCGGACGTCGACCTGGACAGCGCCAAAGGGTTCAAGGTCCGGGCCGCCGTCCAGGTGCGTCGTGACACGATCTCGCCGAGGGTAACCGGCGTATACATCTTGGAGGT